TCTTTGCAGTATGAGGGCCTAAAACCTTTTTTCCAGTGGAATTTCTAGATGTGATTTTCCTCTGTCCACCAACCAGTTACTGTTAACAATAGCAGTTACATAATCAAGCAATTAATATCTGGTAGTGGTAATAGCAGGATTTAAAAAATATGAATAGTAAAAGCAATAGAACTACAATAAGTGGTTCAATATTGCTATTTGATGTATGTATGCATATTTATTTCTATATACATATGTATATTTTTTCTGCTCTTTCATGGTGTCTTAATACTGTTTTTTCCCCCCTCCTCCTCTTCCTGTTTTGCATCTCCTTAGATATTTCACTAATGGTTTTGCCTCCATGCCACGCTCTGTGCCAGTTTTATGTTCTAAATGGTGAACTGTCTTGCCAGTTGTATCAGAGATCTGGAGACATGGGACTGGGGGTGCCTTTCAATATCGCCAGCTATTCACTGCTCACATATATGATTGCCCATGTCACAGGCCTGAAGGTATAGTATCCTTTTGCTTAGATATTTATAGTTTGAACAGAGGACTAAAACATTAAACATTTATGTAGGAAGAATTGGAAAGAACACAACATTCAAAAGTTTAGATATGTACAGGAACGGGCTCTGTAGATGAATTGTATTTATGTATGTGTTAGTGGGGTGGCCTGCACTATAAGAACTCTACAAATGTCATAATGATCACTTATATCAAAGAATCTCCAAATCTTGTGAAAAATAATTGTCAAAATTAAGATGTGTCCTGGCTTATTTCACCAGTTTATCTACCAAAAATCTGAGTTGAGCACATTTCCTTCTGGTGACAATGAAAAATGCCATAGGGTGTCTTTTTGTGCTACTGAAACAGCTATCTTCAAGGTACTACCAACTTCCAGCCATTAGAAATGTCATAGCTTTTTTTTTATTGGACTAGACAGAGAATTAACTCTCTGGTTGCTGTCAGATTCCAATTTGCATATTGTGATCTGCCTACCTAAAATTCCTGCTATGGTTTCAATTGGATATTTTTCACTTCTGACTGTAAATGGTTGCGTAGTACTGCTCTTTTCTGTTAGCCACCTGTTGTCTTTCACCAAAGATAGCTGCATTCTTGTGACTTGGTAGAGCAGAGATTTGTTAAATTTAAATACATTACAGTCTTTCTATCTTCTAAAAGCTGACTTCCTCACTTCTTAAAGATTCTGTGAGATTTTGACCCCCCTCCTGGTGCTATGATCAGGAGTTGCTGCTTCCATTTTTAGCATTGAGGAGAGGAGATGAAATGGGTGAGTGGAGAAAATCATGCTTTATAATAAGTAAGGACTTAGTGTAAGTTTTATATCAGGTAATTAAAGTAAATGAAGTTTGATGTCTCCTTCACAACTTCATTTAACTATTATATCTCCTCTTAAAGCAAAACACTTTTTGTGGGAGAGATCTGCAGTAAAGAACATAAACTCATATAAGACTTGTGAATTTTTGCATAACATTAAACACTGCAATAACACTACAGACAAATTAAGTAAATAGCTCTGCTTTTACGATCCAGTATTTCAGCACATGCTATGGCTAAGAATACTGCAGCAAAATAGTGCAGATACTTGCAGCAGCAGTAAACTCTAAGCACTAGACCTAAACCAATGATGATGGTAAATTGTCAGGCAATGATAAGCATTTTGTGTGACTTAAGCCAGGGCGCTAGATGCTTTGCCATAAGTGAAAGAAATGTTAATGCAGACAAACCAACCTGTCAACGTTCCCAGTTAGAAAAAATACCAGACCTTTTCCAAATGTGAGGATAGCTGCAATTTGTAGCATGCCATGAAGGCCAACAGATGTGGGCTATTTCAGATCAAGAGGCTGGGAAGAGAATTCCAAAGTTCAGGGCTCATTACAGAAAACATCCCACTAGCAGCTCTGTTTTAAACCAAGAAGACTGGCTTTCAAGTGCTTCTGCATACCATAACTGTGGCAACAATGAGGCATGTTTCTCAGCTAGGCAGGTTCAAAGCCATTTTGGATATGTCTACATTGCTGCTGGGAACATGCCTCCCAGCGTGGGTGGACAGACTTGTGCCATCTCCGCTCAAGCTAGTGCACTAAAAATAGCATTGTAGCATGGGTGGTGGCTCCAGCTAGCTGCCCGAGTCCAAGCCCATCTGAGCTCAGGTGGCTAACCGGAGCCACTGTCTTTTCCACAATAATCGTTCTGCTAGTTTTAGCATGCTAGTGAGAGTGTGTCTACCTGGGCTAGGAGGCAGACTCCCAGATTTAGTGTAGACATACCCTTAGGGCTTCAATTTGTCAGGATAGATCATGGTGCACTGGTTTCATGTGATCCTGCAAGGAACTCCTTTTAATGAGTTGCTTTGGTTTCTTAACAGAATTAAGTGCCACAGTATACATTACAGTATTCTAATCTTGAGCTAGAAGCATGGATCACTGTAGCACTGTTAATACTTGCAACCTATCACTTCAAGGTAGATGGAGATGGCTGTATTTCTCACTACCCCCATCTCCTTCCACTTGTGTTAACAGATAAATGAGTGCTCAGTTGCAAAATCTTTGTTGTAGAACTTCATATTCTGCTTAGAGTAGCTTAAAATAATGATCGGTTACTTTAGGGAAAGACAATATTTGAACTTGTAAGAAAACAGCTTATCGAGACAATCTGTTGCAGGAGCTATGCTTCAGCAACAGCGGTGCTGGGAACCTCTGGCACAAGCATTGCAGTGTCATACAGTTCTGAAATGTGCTACCCTGTTTGGGTGAAGACTTTATTTTTTTCCTCTTTTTCTTCAGCCTGGTGAATTCATACACACACTAGGAGATGCTCATATATATCTGAATCATGTTGAACCTTTGAAAATTCAAGTAAGTATCCATGGTGACTGGAGCCTGGCTATCTTTTTGATATATATCTACCACAGCTGGTTGAATAACTGATGGTAATCCTGCATTTTTAGATCTAGTACTTTCATTGTAAATACTATGTTCATTTGCATTGCTGATCCTCTGATATCTTCTCCACTTGTAACCCTTTACCTATGTTCAACTCTGGTTACAAGTGAAAACACTGTAGAATTTTGATCGAATTAACCACTCTATTGGTCCAAGTTAGTATACATCTCTCTGCAAGTCAAAGATGCAAGAATTTGTACTCTAATCTCTATCATTATTGTTACAAAATATTAGTGTCCTTATGCTTGTCTTATCACAACAAAACTATAACTGACTAAACGAATAAAATGCACTTTGATGCATTATATAATCAGTTTGCAAACCAGTAATTCTTAGTGGGTATTCTTCTGAATGATAAGGCTCTACTGTACTTTTTTTGGTCTCTGACAGAGACTTGTTCACTTCATATCAATCTTTCCACCGTCTTCACACAAATATCTACATACTATGATAGGACAGAGAATGTTATGGCAGGTGAGGTCTACCTAACCAAAAGAGCTGTCTAAGTAATCAATTTTCACTGTGCACTGTCTTTTTACTTTTGAACGCTAATCTTGTACAAATGTAAGTCAAACTCTCTTTAATTTCAGCTTCAAAGGGAACCACGACCTTTCCCAAAACTCAAAATTCTTCGTAAAATTGAAAATATCAGTGACTTCAAAGTAGATGACTTTCAGATTGAAGACTATAACCCACATCCAGCTATTAAAATGGAGATGGCTGTTTAATGCACTTAACTTTTTAAACATGATAGGAGTCTGTTTCATAAGTATGTTACCTTCTCTGTACTTAAGCTCAATGCGATGCTCTTCAATGTTGCTAAAACAGTTAAATAACTTTGAAAGGGGTCCTGCTCTAGACCACGGACTGTTCAGAAGCAGGTTAACAGTTCTTTAATGAGAAAGGTATGTTAGGTTGCCTTCCTGCAGGTGTCATTGAACCAAATCTTGGTGTAAAAGAAAAAATTAGTACTGTTTACTGTCGGTCTTTGAGTTCAGAGATCTCTGTTGGAAGGTGACTCTGGGCTGTATATTTCTACTGTCTATAAATCATTCAGGAATTGGCTGGAGCCCCCCTTAAGTTGTTACGGAGTTTAAGTTAATATTTCAAGCTTTTCCTTGTTCTGCACTGTAGCCTGAGCAGTGAGAAGTGTTTAGTCTTGTTCTGTATTAGTTACTTACCCTTATGTATTAGTAAATATTTAAACAAAACACTTGTTTATAGCAGGATTTTTTTAAGCTTGAAAAGTGGTGATAAGAATGTTTAATAAACTTGTATAAATATTTTTAATAGTGTTTGGAAAGTGTGTTGTATCTTTTTAAGGTCTAGTACTGAATTTGTGCTTGTAACACTAGTATCAAGTAAAGCAAGGTAAATTTCAGAGGATTTTGAGATTTCAAAGGTTTAGCATTGTTCAATTTCAGAACAAAAATCAAAACATTAACTCTCCTAATTGGACTGGGGGCTGTGGAAGTTCTGACTCACAGGCAGGGTACTTGGTGGATTACACTAAAGCTGGGGACTGCAGGCTCCCAAATGCTGTGCTCCCCCTTGGCAGGCTGTTAAGGTGGTGGGCAGGTGAGCAAATTGTCAAGAAGCCAGGCAGGCTTCCCACAGAAGTTTGTTGGACACAGATTTCAATTTTGATGAATTGGCAAATGTCTAGTCACAAGTCTTGATACAAATAAAGCATAACACCTAGCTCTGTCAACTCTACCCCCGCTATAGGTGACATCAGGGCCCGTTCTGGTCCTTTCATGATGCTGCCCATCTTACCAAGCCATGGTAGTTTATGTACACACATGGTGGCTGAGTAAAAACTTTTGTATTTTCATTAAGGCCCAAACTTACAAATACACAACCAATAGGCAACTCTGAATAGCTCTATACCTAACATGCATCTGAAGTGTTTTTTTTAATCCACGAAAGCTTATGCCAAATAAATGTCAGTCTTTAAGGTGCCACTGGACCCCTCATTGTTTCTGTACTTGCAACAGCTTTTGGTTCCACAACATAACCAATATGAAGTTTTGTGTATGATTAGGACAAGAGTAGACAGCAAGGAATTTTATTTTAAATCTCTAAATTCAAATACTTTAGTATGGTGTGAGAAAATCCCTTGGAACAATTTACCAAGGGTCATATTGGATGCTCCAGTTCAAAAGGAATTACTTTGGGGAAATTCTAAGGCTTGTATTATGCAGGAGGTCAGATTAGATGATCACAGTGGTCCCTTCTGCCCTTGGAATCTATGAAAACAGATACTGCAAAGTTACTGATTTGTAGACTAGTTCTAGAAATTCAGTTCATAGCCCATCCACTAGTTACACTAAAGTACAACTTTGCTGGAATAGAGGCCCCCGTCATTTCTTTAAACTAAACATCCTGGACTATGTGTTATGTTAATTCCTGGAGGTTTTTGCCTGGTTATACAAAAGCATCTACTGGCAGCTGAAATCTTGTATCATCACCTAACAATAGTGTGTGAACAGCTTGGGAAATTTAATCTGCAGCCTGAAAATTGTCAGGGTTAGGCTTAATGCAGTTGTTTTTTATGGCTTAGAAAGGATTTTCTGCCAAACTTCTCCCTGTGGAAACTGGTATTTCCTTGCAGACTCTTCTTTCATTTCAGTGGAATATCCAGCATCCTACAAGATTTAAAAAAAAAAAAATTTTTTTTTACTATTTATAAAGTGATACTAGCTCTAGTCCCCTCTTCATTCAAATAACTCAAGTGCTGTCATGCAATTGGAGAATAATTATTGTAATCTCTGATGCTGGGGATCATGCCAGGCTCATTTGTAATGCAAAAGGTATCAGCTGTAACTAGTGTTTAATCTCTTAATGCCTGATGCAAATGTTAAATGGAAAACTAGAGTTCTGAAAAGTCCGGGCTGAACAGAATTGTAGTTAGACAATAATCTTTAGTTTTGGAATATGAGTTTCAGTGAAAAACAGAATATTTTAAAGCATTTCCAGTGGATTGTCCTCCCTCATGCCCTCTTCTCCAGCTGGACAGAGAAGTATTAATACTTTTTTACCTAAATTGGTTAGCCCAGCAATGCAGATATTAAACATCAGTAACTAGAGAATTGCTTTGGATTGAGGTTTTAAGCCAGGGTCACTCCACTTCCTGAAGCATGTGTACTGGAATGTACACCTTTCATTTAACAGTTCTGAACCGCCAAACCTATGCAATAGTTTAGTCTAATAGTACATCTCCAACTTTTTCATTCTGCAGATGACTTTGTAAGAGAGCCTTTCACATGCAATCTTAGTCTTAAACTGCTTGTAATTAAGATGCTTTCTTTACTAGGCCACTTAAGTAATTATCTCATAGCATACCTGAGGTGGTACGTAGGAAGCTTTCTTGATTATGGCAGGATATTTGAAGTGTTCATGCAAATGATCTACATACTCACACATCCTGCAAGAAAGAGGAGGGATTGTTTTCAGTTTTACCTAATCTTGTACTTATTCATGGCTATTATCCCTGACAAGGAAACAAGGTTTGGGTAAAAGTTGGACTGATATTTGTATCCCAATTATCAGCAAATTAGGAGACTTCCTTTTAGAAGCAGAAACTACTGCTACATAGTGCTTCGTATTGATAAACTGGAATCTGCTTGGCATTTTAGCCTAGCGAGGACTGGTGGTCTCAATAAAATAAGCCAGAACAAGAATACAGGGCAGAAGGTGGGCCCTTTGGGCAGAATGTAGGCTTCGGAGAGCAAGATAAAAACTTCGTTTTTCAATACAGACAGAGATGAGTAAAATTATACAGAAGAGCTGTGTTTACTGATTGTGGATTTTCCAAAGTACAACAAAAGCTTGATTCTTATGCTAGCCCACGTGGATACAGAATGAACAAGACTATTTTCTGCAGCCAGGGAAGTCACTAATGAGGGCAGCTGAAGGGCTGGGTCTGCTCCTTAGTTTATGAATTACCACGAACATTGCTGTGGCTGTAAACCAGCAAAATTTACCAAACATGGTCTAAGGCAATTTTAAATGATACTGCTTCAGAGACAAGGAAGATCAAAACAAGAGGAATGGTTTATGATACAGCTGATTTAAAATGTGAGCAAAAGGTGAAGCTACAATATTTGACTTTAATATTTGCAAGACAACTAGTCTGAGGAACAGGAATATACAGCCAACAGGAGAGATTCAGGAAATTTGTGTTTTCAATAATGTGAAAAAATTGTTCATTGCTCACAAAGAAGGCTAATACGATCCGAAGCGGACATTAAACAAGACAAGGGAAGTTGTTAGATCCTTTGGGGAAGCTACACCTAGAACACTATTCAACTTAGAGTAGGGAGCTAATCCTTTGGTCATGCATGTGTTGGCCTGCCATTGTAGTTATTGGGGGAGGAGGGGTTGTAGGAGTGAGAGAGATGCCAAAATATAGTTCCAAGAGTATCAAGCAGTCTTTGTCAAAAATATTCCTGGCTGTTTGCCAGGCAATTGCCAGAGTGAAGTTCACACACTTCTGACTGGTTTAAAATTCTCTGGGAGAGCCACAGGGAGGTGAGTTGAGGTATGTTGTTTTTGTTTACTGGTTATTATTGCATGTCAATAGCCTTTTGGAAAAATAAGTCATCACCACTATTGAATGTTACAGTAGCATTTTACATTACTAACCTGTTTTCAAGGCTTCCAGATACTGAAATATAGTCAAATATTATCAAGTGCTGTACCAACTCACAGAGCCCAACACCCCCAGCGTGAGGGCAAACAGGAACTGAAATGAAAACAGAACAATCCCTGTTTAAACCAATCTGAAGAGTAAAGGCAAATGACTGGATTATTCAAAAGCTTGTGCACCAACTCAGCTGGTGTTTAACTGCAGCTCCAATACCACCCCCCATGAACCCTACAGAAACTCAGCTCCCAGTAATAAGGGACCAAAGGCATTTTGAATTAGTACTAAAGCATGACAGAAAACAAATGACTGAACCACACACAAGCGCATGCTCATGAGTTAGCAACACGACAGCTGAAGAAGTTGCATGGCAAACAGGCTTAGAACAAAAGAGGTGTTAGTGCTACTGACATACTTCCAAGAGCCTTACTTTGAAACTTTTTGGCCATCAGCAACACAGACAAGTTTTCATTCACACTTCCCAGCCTGCAGCTGTCAATCTGGAGATAGCTCAGGGCCTTAGCCTGTAGGAGCTGCTTAAATATCACTCTATTGTGACACTGCAGCAGGGAGGGAAGGGGGAAGAGAAAAAAAAATGTTAAGCCCCAGATTCTAAGGAATTGGCAGGATATTACAAGAACTGTTGGCAATATAAGTCAAAACAATTGCACAATGTTCCCACTAGGTTTCCCATTAAAACCAAGTTCTTTTTATTGTACCACTTAGCTGGAACAATGCACAGCAGTGCAGAGGATTGCAAAGCATTTTACAAACAATAAAGAATCACAGTACAGTTGTAAGGTAGAGGCATAGTAGAATTACATCCATTTTACAGCTTTCTGAACTGAGGCACACAGAAATGTCACTATTTTGCCTAAGTTCACACAACAATTCAGTGGCAGAGCTGGGATCAGTACTGAGTCCTAATTCCATGGTTTTTGTTTTAATTGCCAAGCAAACCTCCTGCTCTTAATTGCATGATACCCCTTATAGGAATGAATGGGCTACTGCAGCACTCAGACGGCAGGAGTGAATACACAGTGGTTCTGTTGGTTCTGGAAGACTATTTCTTCTCCTGGACTCCTGCAGACCACTCCAATGAGATGATTAGGGCCCTACCAAATTCACAGCTGTGAAAAACATGTCACAGATTGTGAAATCTGGTCTTTTGTGAACTTTTACCCTACTATACAGATTTCATGGGGAGACCAGCATTTCTCAAACTTGGGCTTGACCCCAAAAGGTGTCACAGGGGCGAGGGGTGCTGCAAAGTTATTGTGGGGGCAGGGGAGGGTGTCACAGTATTGCCACCCTTACTTCTACACTGCTCTGACGGCAGCACCCTGCCAAGCCAACCTTACTTCTGCGCTGCTGCCTTCAGAGCTGGGCAGCCGGAGAGTGGTGGCTGCTGGCTGAGGGCCCAGCTCTGAAGGCAGCAGTACAGAAGTAAGGGTGGCAATACCGTGACCCCCATCCCCCCCTAAAAAACCATGCGACCTCCCCCACAGCCCCCTTTGGGGTCAGGACCCCTAAAGTAACAACACAATGAAATTTCAGATTTAAATAGCTGAAATCATTACATTTACTATTTTTTAAAACCTAGGACTGTGACTGTGACTTTGATAGGGCCTTAGAGATGATGGATGGTCCAGTAGTTAAGACACTTGACTAAAACTCAGGATTCCATTTCTACCTCTGCCACAAACTTCTTGCGTAGATGTTGGCCAAGTCACTTGATCTTTGTGCTTCACTTTCCCATCTGTAAAATGGGGATAATAGTACGCCCCTACCTAACAGGAGAAGCAAGATAAATACATTCATGTTTATGTAATGCTCGGATATTATGCTATGGAGAAACCTCTACATACAATATATAAAGCCTATTACTCAGGAATTGGCCTTTAGTCTGCCAGGCAGGCCTGTCCTAATAGTTAATTCAAACCCATTTTCCTTAATAGATGTCATTATTCACACCAAAAATTAAATGTTCTATGTACTGGCAAACAACAGCTGGAGGTCAGCATCACAATGAAATATGGTGAAAGCACGGCTTTGCATGAGAAACTGGCAATAGAGTAAAACTATGCTAATGCAGTATTTCTCTCCAGCTGCCAGTGAGCAATGAGAATTTGCTAAATTATGTTGCTCTGCTCTGTAGATTTAGTAGAAGGGTTTGGCAGGAAGAGGTATGTCATTCATGAGCACAATAAAAAACAATTCAATAGTTAATTCACTTTGATTCAGAAGCTGGTTTTCTTAAAGGGACCAGTCATTTTATTGATAGCTAACAATTTGTACCTGACATCCAGAGAGGAGCTCAGGAAATGGGGTCTTTGGACTGCTAAGATACTTTTACATGCTACTGATGTCTAGGGTGACCAGACATCCCATTTTTAAAGGGACAGTCCCATATTTAAGCCCTCCTGAAGGTGTCCCGACTTTCTTAAAAACGGGCAAATTGTCCCATATTTTCTGTCCCCCTCCCATCAGTACTGGTGGGTCCTGCTGCTGGTCGGATCCCTGCTCGCCAGCCGCCCACCCACCAGCAGTGAGTTGAGGGGCGATCCAGTGGCCGACAATGGGTGTGGGTGTGCAAGGCTGGTGGTAGGGCAAAGCTGCAGCGCGCAGGGCCGGCCGTTCCCCCTGCTGGTCCATCAGCGCAGCCCCCGCCTTGTGCTGGCTCTCAGCCAGCAAGGTCCCCCACCCCATTTCTGGCCAGCACTGGCTGCACGCTGCAGGGGCTGGTGAGTGCAGGCAGGCGCCAAGTGGCAGCCGATTACGTGTCACCTCTGCTGCCCACCCATCAGCCCTTTATGTGCTCCCCCCCTCACTGTCCTCTCCCTGCTTTGCGCCTTCACTACCCCGCCCCCAGCCCTGCTGCTCCTCCATATCCCCTGCAAGCGGGCCGCATGCCACTACCAACACTGTGTGGAGAAGAAGCCCCTGGTCAGAGTGCTCAGTTCACCAACAGCCTGGCCGGCAGGCTCCTTCCTTCCCCCACTGCCTCTGACTGGGCCAGCGCCCTTGGAAAGCCCAAGAACTTCCGGCCTGGGGCGCTGGCCAGGAGGAGCCAAGCCCTGCGTGTGCTAAAGACTCGCACAGCACTGGCACAGGGAAGCCTCTTTGCCCCTCAACTAAGCTCTGGAGTGGCGGGAAGGGGGGGGGAAGGGAGGAGGAGAGCAATTTCCAGCCTGTTTGCGCCCTGACACTGCAGGCGCCACAGCAGCCCCCTAGGCAGGGGCTTAGCACCCTTTTCACCCCCCCAGCCTCCTGCCCTGGGCCCAGCCCCCAGGGAGCGCGGGGCTGCTCCGTCCTCAAGCCACCCTTCCCTGCTGAGCCACCTCTCTGGTGGGGTTCGCTGAAGCCCCTGCAGTCAGGTTCCCTGGGCCCTGGTGCACAATGCATCCTCAGGGCTTAACCCCATCCTGCCCACACTGAAGCTAAGGGGGGACAGGAGGCGTCTGGATTATGTCGGTGGCCAGCAGCAGCCTGGAGATGTGTGGAGGTGTTAGCTGCCTTTCGACACTGTGCAGGCAGGAAGGGACAAGCTGCTTCCAGCCACAGGGCAGTGTGTGTTGGGGGGGGGAGAGGGGGGGGAGGCATGAGCTCTGCAAAGACACGGGCCAAGTCATCCCTTCCCCACCCCACCCCCAACCATGGCTGGAAGCAGCTCCCGTCCACTCCCTCTCGCACAGTGCCAAAAGACTGCTGCTGGCCACATTCTGGTGTGAACCCTGACAGAAATCTGGGGAGGGGGGCATGTGACCCTGTGTGCTCCCCCCATGTTTCCTCGGGAAGACACAGCGCGAGGTGCGAGGCTCTGTCCTAGGGGCCCAGCCAGGCACGGAGGGTGGAGAGCAGCGGACAGTGTGTGTGTGTGTGTGTGTGTGTGTGTGTGACGGAGGGTGGAGAGCAGCGGACAGTGTGTGTGTGTGTGTGTGTGTGTGTGTTCCCTTTGTGAACCCTACAGATCAGAGGGTCAATAAAAAGAATCCAACTACTCAGTATTTCTTTTAACGGGGCTCAGTCAACTTGATATTCGTACTGCATAGTTCTGATTGATTGCCACTGAACTCGCTTGAATACAAGTCATTTTACCAGGTGTCCCATATTCAACATAGGGAAATATGGTCATCCTACTTCTGTCACTGTCTTTTGGAACTAGTGCTGGCAAGAAGCTAAGGGTGGGATCCATAAAGGTATTTAGGTGCCAACTTTAGGCCCAACTAGGATCCATAAAACTCTTGCCCGGCTGCTGCTGAACCCTGTAGGCACCTAAATTCACTCAGTGCCTGAGTTTTTACACTAAAGAGTTCCCTAGACACCTATGTTATTGCCTCTCTGCATGTTCATTGTTGCCTGCAGGGCCTGATACCTACCAGATCAGATCCCCAGAATGTGACTTACAGGGCTGAATGTTTATCTTCCCCAGTTTGTGAATTCCTTTGGGGCTCAGGTGGGAGATAGGCACCTGGGTGCCTCAAGTGAGGCAAGTTCACACAAAAACAACAAGAAGGCAAAGGAGGATAACCAGCCTTTAGTATAGTTATTAGGGTACTCACTCAGGATGTGGGAGACCCAGGTTCAAGTCTCCCCTCCACCTGCAGGGGAGAAGGCATTTGAATGGTCATCTGCCACCTCTCCGGTGAGCCCTCTTACCCCAATGCTATAGAGTCATTGTAACTCCTTCTCTGGGCCAATTAAGATTCAATTAAAGCAGGGGAACTTCAACAGCAGACACTGAGGGAGCCCTCCATCAGGATGTTTCATAGGCCAGTGGTTAGGGCACTCAACTGAGAAATGGTAGATCCCTGTTCAAACCATCATAACAGATTCATCACAACAAAATCTTCCCAGATCGTCCAAACAAATAGGGGTGGGGAAGAGAATACCTATCAAAAGTATTAGTTGGTCTTAAATTATGTGAAATAAATCCAAGGCTGTTTTAAGTCACGTTATTTAATTCCCAAGTGAGAAATCAGGGTGAACTTTGGCACAAATTCTCGAAAGTCACAGACACTACATTAAATAAAAGACTGAATGAAAAAACAATTAGACACCCACTTACTTGTTCTCCTGTTGCCACACCAATTCCTAATGGTGCCAAGGCCTACAAAAATAAAGAATAAATAAACAAAACAAACAAAGGACTCACTTCTAATCTGTAATTCCCAAATACAGCTTTTCACCAGAACGAGGGGACAGAGGGTAGAACAGCTAACAAAGTGTAATGCTCGTTACTTGCTATGCATTTGGAAAAGAATAAGTGTAGTGTCATTTTTTGTTAGTGCATTTTATACAGCTTTTTTCTGCTCCAATAATATGTGAAGACTTATGTAAGAGGGTGTGTGCTGCCATAAAGGGATAAACATCTCGGGCTCTAGCATTACTATTAGCTATATCACATTATGAGCACATATCCTGGGCTAGTATTACTCAACTTTACTGAAACACCAATCCACACATGTTAAAAGAAAGATACATACACGTTTCAGGGGAAATACTGACTGCTTTTCTTGTGCAAGCATGACAGTCTCGTGGCCTTTTATATAATCTTTGGACCATGCTTTTCGTTTAAGTGTAATGGAATACAAATACAGGATGTGCCCGGGATCTTGTAGCAAACACCTTTAATGACTTTTGACAGCTGTTTCAGCCTGAACTTTGAACATTCCAAACAGCAGAGTCAATAAATGAATCCCTACTGCTCTCTGGTGTGTAGTCACTACGTCATTACTGAAATGAAAAACAAACACTTCAACCTTAGAAATGGCTGCATGTCCAAGAATATCATCAGGAGAAGTTGGCTCCTCAATCCATAATGGTTTAAATTCAGCTAATTTAGTGACCCACTCTATTGCTTCCTTCACTTCCCATCGTTGGTTAGCATCCAGCATCTGAGAGTAATTACAAAGAAAATTCACTTATATGACTACTGAATTTTTATGAATATGAAATTGTTAAAAAAATAACCATAATGTTGCTATAAATTAATGAAAAAAGGAAATTCAGACAGTGTAGATCACTGCTGTTTTCTGATCTTTAACACATCATATGACATTACGTAGCACATGTTCTACAATTTCTAGACTCAATAAAGGTAAGGATAAACTAATAGCCTAAAAGATGAACTCCAGGTGGAAATCCCAAATTATGCTTTGCTGGAAATGCTGCTTTGAGATGACACATTAAATCAAAGGCCCTGGTGCGCTGTAATCGTTAAAAGCAAAGGTCACAGATTTGGTCTCAAACCCTTATTCCAACTGAGGTAGTTGTATTCTGCTTTTCTGAATTTCCCCACCAGGTTTCAAATGAATATGATATTGTCAACTTCTCTCCTGAACTTCTGCTTAGTGTTCTTGCACACCATTAAAGAGGTGCCACAAGGAACTCCAGAAGTGACTGTTTCAGTATCAGGCAAAACAATTCCTATATAGCAAGTGAGTTAAGCACTCTGGAAACGGGATGGTTGAAATTGTTCAACAGAACTGGGTTGGGTTTTTTTTGAGGGGGCAGGGGGGTGGTCAGAAAATTGGGTTTTTGACTAAAAATATGTTCACAAAAGGTGTGTTTTCTCTATGGAAAGTTTTGATTTTGTGTTGAAAACTGAACATCTGAAAACCAAAAATTTTGATGTGGAAATGCTGCTACAGTGCCTAACAGGAGTTGTAGCTTGGGTGCCTCATGTCCTCACTTTCCTCTGTGGCAGTGGTTCTCAACCTTTTTCTTTCTGAGGCTCCCCCAACATGCTATAAAAACTTCACAGCCCACCTGTGCCTTTCAAGAATGCCATGTAATCTCAGCCCGTACCAATATCTACACGAATAGACAGCCGTTTTATATTTAAAATTACTTAATAGTGTAGTCATTCAAAAATATTCACCAATGTCTTGTCAGGGCCAATCATTTCTCTTATAAGTCTGCATCTACGAATGTCATCCGGCAGATTGGCACCAACCTTTACTTTGAACCTAGACACATTTATAATAAAATGTAGGTCACTTCACCATGATTAATGTAGCAGTGATAACTTTCCTCTATGAGAAACTGTAAACTCAAATTTACAAAACACCAGAGTCAGTGTTTTATGGTCAATATTTTCTTATCACATCTGTCCCTTTTCCAGCACACTTCATCCTAGCTTAACAAAAAAGACAACAAATACTTTCCCATGAATCAACAGGCAAGCAGTTACCTTTGTTAGCTACTAGCTTGCCAGGAGGATAGCTTATTTTGCCATACATTTACTTAGATACCTACTGTAATGGTATGTTATGGAATAGCAGAAAGGGAAAGTATTAAAAAAAAAATCAGAAGCAAAGACATCTCTTCTCAGAATGTAGAGATTGAAAAGACCTATAGAGTCATCCGTCTAGTCTGTCTCTGTGCCAAATCAGGACTGATCTCAATAGTATCTTTCTACTTGCTACTAATCATTAAACAGAAAAGTTCAGCATATGAGACAGTTGTTTACTATACCTTGTCCAGCCATCCTTCAATGCCTCCGTGCATAGCTGCAGAGAAAATTACATCTATTATATCTCTAAGTAGCTGCACCACTCAATATCTAGACTAGTATTTTTTTACAGGCTGTCTAACCCAGGATGAACTTTCTAGCCACTTCTTTATTGACATAAAAGTGTAGAGCAGACAGTAACTGAGAGCAGAGGTATGAATAACATCCAGCTGAAATGTAGGATCCAAACTCCTCAATCTATGTAAAGAAATACTTGATGCATTTTTTTATTTCCATGTACTATGCATGACAGTTCTATGATCTAACAATGCTATTTCCAGATTCACAGAAAGCTGAACTTTTCCAAAAACTAAACCAGTTGATAAACATGTATTGTATTAACCAGACCTCAGATCCCAGAGCTGTGAAGAGCCTTCATGATATTTCACTTTGAAGGAGGATTTAGCTACAGCAAAATAAGGCCACTTTACTTCTGAAGGAGAGTGTCCACACAGGGGTCTAATGCGCTTTAACTTCACACCTTTTGTTAATTCAACTTCACTTTCCTGAGCATCACCATGTAGACAAAGCCCTTTGTCTGCACTAACATAGCTGCACAAGTGCAGTCTGATAGTTATACACAATACAGCAGTGTAAACTGGCTTGCAGTGGTCCATGGTTATCCCCAACAGCTACACCTAAAACCCCAAGGTAGACAAGGCCTTAAAACTCTTCACATTGTGGCTAACACAAAAGCGAATGAACGACTAGGTCCACAGAACAGGGCCAGCTTTCACATACACCCCCTCCTACATATGCAGTGCTTAATTGTTTCACTTTGCTCCGAGCCCAAAACTAAGCAACCCCTAGTGTTGAATCGTCACCTGTTGGCATTCCCCACTGAATAGAAATGTTTAAAATCTTACTTCTGTAATCTAATGTTGAAGACTCAAACCTGTTTTAACTGCTGGTCCGGGTAGCCCAGCCAGGCACAAGACGTGGTGTAAGCAGGGTATCCATGCTTTAACATTTGCTCTTCTACAAAGCCAAAGAATGTCACCAATGAACATATGCTGTTTTCTCTTTAACAGATGATTAGTTTGTATGGTAGTTTTAGATAAGCTGTTACTCATGGAAATGAAAGGAGTTTAAAAATAAATCTCATTTTAACCAGGGTAGATGAAATTTGCTGAGAAAAACCCTCCCTTTCCTCTCCTTCTTTCCAAAATGTGGGAGAGCTTCAGCTCAAAAAATACCTTTAGGGTGTAACCAGCACCGTCTCCATGCCATTGTGACTGACACAAACATTCACCGAGGGGTTCCAAAGCAAATGGCCACCAAGGGCACGTCTTCACTACCCGCCGGATCGGCGGGTAGCGATCTATTAGGGATCGATTTATCGCGTCTAGTGTAGATGCGATAAATCGATCCCCAATCGCTCTGCCGTCGACTCCAGAACTCCACCGCGGCGAGAGGCGGAAGCGAAGTCGACAGGGGAGCAGCGGCAGTCGATCCCGCGCCGTGAGGATGGGAGGTAAGTCGATCTAAGATACGTCGACTTCAGCTACGTTATTCTCGTAGCTGAAGTTGCGTATCTTAGGTCGATTCCTCCCCCCCCCCGCAGTGTAGACCAGGCCCAAGACAGCACAAGCCCTCTCTATATGTACACCTACCACCTCCCCAATGACTCATAAGGAGGAGACATCACACAATGCATTCAACCTCACACGAGAGCCTCAATTGTTACATTCCACTTCCCAGTGACTGGGACACTCTGGGATGCACAGTGCCACATCAATCATGTGGTGTGTTTAGTCCTTTATTCTCCTACAAGACAGTGAAAGTAAACTTGGTTTAAACTTACCTCTTTCCTTCTTCCCAAGTAGGCCATTTTGAAGTATTTCTGCATGGGGGAGAAAAAGAGGAGAGATTATTGCATTAACCAAAGTTCAATTCCTCCACATCTCCAGATCCTACCACCACACACTGCTGTTTTCATAAAACAAGATTCTGCTCTGTTTACTTACAAAGAGTAATGCCCTACTGCTCGAGTAGTCCCACTGAAATCAAAAACAGCTCAAGGAGTAAGGGGATCTGTCTTGACAGAAGGACGACTTACCACAAGCTTCTTCTTCTGTTAGTGCATCAGTAATATACCTGAAATCTATGCAGGATAACAACTGCTTTGGGTCCTGTTAACAAAATATTTAATGTAAAACAAACAGCAAAGAATAATAAAATTACATGATTACAAAAAGGCAATACTAAGGTAACATATACATCTGCCGTATGAGCCATCTATCAGCCTTCTCCCTGTCACAGACAGTACTGTGAGTGGATTCACCGATTCTAAAGTCAAACTGATTAACTGACTCTGGCAAACTTTAAGGTTCTAATCCAACAAATATTTAGGCATGTGCTTAACTTTAAGCATGTGAGTAATCCCATTTAACTCAATGGTGCCACTCACACACTTAATGTTAAGCATGTACAAAAATATTTGCAAGATCAGGGTGTAATTGATTAATAAACATTAAAAAAAATTACTAATGCATTTAGAATGCTCCAAGTGTGCAAATCTGTACATACTATAATCTTCACACAGAAACGGCAGTTCACTCAGCATCAGAGGCTGCTTTTTGGCTCCTTTGAAAATTTGTCTCAAGAGAGTATTTATCAAAAGAGAGGTCTGAAAGCAATTCATTGAAATAGTCTGAGAAAAACCCAATTCAAAATACATTTTAAACTGAGAAATGATTCAATAATAACAGGTTGCAGAGAAGAGACTGAAAACATGAGATTCTTTAGGCTTTTAAAAAAAATAAAGATTTCATTTAAAAAAAACATTAAGTTTCCAATCCTGCAACGATTTATGCACATGCTTAATATCTGAATATAAAATCTGCTACTAATGGATCAAGAGATTGGACTTTTACTTTCTGTAAATACATCAATCTTTATTATTGTATGCAGAGGCCTGTATTTTCAGAAGTGACTAGTGATTCTGGGTACTTCCTTTTGGTGTCCAATGTTGAGACTCCTTATTGGGGTCTGATTTCCAGAAGGCGAGTGCTCGCCATGTTGTGAATGTATCTCAAAGTCGAGCACCCAAAAAATGGAAGCATCCAAAATGACTTGTGACTTTTGAAAGTGGAGGCCAACGAGATCTGAGTATTTGCTAAACGATAATAACTATTCCATAATCTTATTCCCCCCCCCCCAAAAAAAATAATAATTACTTGCTAATATAAAAACCAATCAAACCCCAACAATCGAATCACTACATTTGTCTTGGCATAAAAACACAGCTCCTCAGCCGAATCATAAGGGTTAGGGTCTTTAGGTCGCATTTTAAAAAAATAATTTACTGGTATCGGTATAGATGAGTTCCAGTTGCCATATACGGTATTGTAGCTGGACAGGGTAGAGTCTGTAACAGTGCTCCCACTAAAGGGGCCAATTTGCACAGCTGTGTGGGGCCAGAAACAGACACTTTGGAAGGAGAAGAGCCCTCCAGAACAAAATGTCACATCCACAGCTCGCAGAACCCTCTGGTTTCTAGGGCCTTGGAATGAGCTACATGGCCATAGAGGTAATTTTAGCGTAGATACTGCCTGAAATTTTTACTCTTCTAATGCATCAAAAATATCAGTGTGGAACAGTGGTAACATTAGCCCACATAGAAGAAGATTTTCTTACCATGTCAACTAGTAACTTCCACAGAGGCTACAAAACAAAACGATTAAATGACATGAAATGGATGGAGATCATATAGAAGCAGCATACAGGTGCTATTTGTATCTTGAAGTGACAAAAAGTAAGTGTGGAAAACATTTACATTTGATGCCAAATGCATCTGGCTGATGTGGTTCTCAAATCAAGACAGGCGATTCAAGATGTCAGGCCTCAGATTGAATTACTTTAACAGGAACATCTCTCTCAGCTCTGCCTCATTATGGCCAGGACACGGATCCTGGCCCACAAATAGCTGGTGTAAACTCACTTTTATTATGTTAAATTAGTCAGACTTGAAATGCTGACGTGACACTACTACTGGAAATGTTGTTTATGCTGAAGAAATTGATCCTTTCTACTTTTAAGATTTCTGTGACATTACTTTTCTTATGCCCCTTATGTTGGGACTGTGTCACACTCCTGGATGCTGACAAGTTCAAAGGTGCCCATTACTTTTTCTTTCCTAGGAAAGGGTATCAGAATAACTCTATAAGACAATTGTTTGCAGTGTTGTCCTAGCTGTCTCGGTCCTAGGATATTAGAGAGACAAGGTGAGTGAGGTTATATCTTTTACTGGACCAACTTAAGATAATAGCAATGATTTACTAGTATAGTACTATTATTATTTACTACTTCTATTGTGGTGGCATCTAAGAGCCCTAGTCACAGACCAAGACCCCATTGTGCTAGGTGCTGTACAATCACAACAAAGCGACACTCCCTGCCCTAGTTATTTACTTTACAGCGTTTAAGACCATGCTACATGCCTCAGATAGAAATATATGATCCTTGCTCCAAACAACTTACAAGATCATATTAGACATGGAAGTGGTTACAAGGAATTCATAACTTTATGAACAGTCTGCAAAGGAAGAAGAAGAAGAAGAAGAGAGAAAAGTCAAGAAAAAATTAGTTATTAAGCAGAGCTGGTCAAAAGTTTTTGTAAAGATGTCATCATTGGTCAAAATTCAAACAAAAAAAGTTGCTGAAGTTTTTCCCCCATGACTAGCTCTACTGGTAACTGGTGTATAAGTGTCAGCTACCAAAGCCTCAGTCCTACAAAATGAATAGCCCCAATGAACTCAGTGGTGTGCGTCCATGAACTTAGGACCAGGACCTAAATCTGCAAAAAGCATATCAGGAGCAGGACTCTCTAATTTAACAAATACAGGGACATTTTTTGTCCATGTGCTCTAAATACGTCACCTTTCCCTCCTGCTTAGCCCACAAATCCCACACGGCATTCAGAACAGCAGCTGTAGCCAAATGCACAGCACCTTTCTCTGGACCAATCTGTTGAAAAAAATCATACAGTTACCTATAATGGTTTAGCATTCTTTCATGTCTTCATCTCTAGTTAATGACCATTAGCAAATTTATACATCTGGAAAACACAACAAAGAAAAAACCACCGGAATTAAAAAGATAAACCCCTATTCATTAGAAACTGAGAACAATCTGAAATCGGTGTGTATTAAGTGCATTGTGAGATTACTACAATGGCTATATTGATCTCTCGTTCCTCTTAATACCAGCTGAGTTTTCAATTTCCAAGAATACTAGACCCTGAATAGAAATAATATTTCGTGAACACTTGCAAGTCAAAAAAAAGGGGGGAAAAGAACAGGTAAAAAGACAGCTTTTGGGCTCTAAACACAAAGAATCTGGACCTCAGGCCCCACTTCTGCTATTGGATCTATGTGGGTGGATACTTGCATTTGTCTAAAGCTCCCTTGAAAACAACAGGGCTCTGGATGGGTTCTCTGTGCAGATCCTATTGCAATGTTAGGGCCCTGGTTGTGAAACAGAAATTTTTTCTCTCCCTCCATAACTGCACAGAGATTCTTATCTAAAAATACTTTTACCTGTACATGTGTCCTTACAGTGGGTTCACATTCACATTTGTTGCCATCCACTTCACAACAACACTCCATAAGATAGACCTTACCCATCGGAGCTGTCCGTCACTGGTGAGCTGCCTGTAGAATCCTCTAAAATCGCTGACAATTTCTTCAAGGTCTTTATTAACCACGTGAATGGAGAGAGCATTAACTGCACAAACAACTGCAAAACACACCAGAATTTAGTGTTTTAATACCACACAGTGACTGGAACAAAATCACTAGATCACTAGTTCTATTGTTCGACCAATGTTTTAGAATTTCACCTTTTCTGTATAGGTGTTGGACCTAGGTGTGCTGCCACACCCCCCGGCTTGAAGTGGTTTCCATCATATACAGGGTTTACAGTTTGGTTCAATGGATCTCAGCACCCCACTATGCTAATTGTTCCAGCACCACTGCTTTTCTGAGAGGGGCTTGGTCTAGCAGATTGAATATGCCAGGAGCCAGGAACACCTGACATGTAACATTGGCTCTGCCAATGATTCAGTTTGTGTGGCCTCAGATAAGCCACATAACATCTCTGCATCTCATGTTTCCCTATTTATCCTCTGGGAAAGATAATACCTACCACCAAGAGAGGTTGTAAGGCTCAATTAGTTAATAACTGAAAGGTGTTTGAAGATGAAAAGTCACTTGCACGCCACCCTTCACCCCAGAGAAAGATCTTGCTGCCAATGTAATCCTCAGGCACACACCACAGTAGTGGTCAGAGAGGGCAATGTTATGCTATCATGAGCACTAGTAAATATAGGAGTTTCCCTAAAATGCTGGGAGAAGATTTGATAGACCTCGCCCACAGGATCTGTTGCATCTCATGCAGTATATATGGTACTTACAGCCATGTTAAATTTCTCATTTCCTCATAAGGGATTTTGTTTCTGGCTATAATATAATAGTTGTGATCCAGTTGTTTTAACTCCCCTAAAATCTACCACTACTGATTTCAACACAAGCTCCAGCAGAGGCTTTTGTTAGAGCAAAACACTAGCAAATCAAGAAAGTATCTTATACACCACTGTTGTCTAGCAGGCTGGATGGGATGGAGGCAATCACAGAAAGGAGCGGACATGTCAGGAGTTTTAGCATCATTCAACCATCATTTTCTGACACAGAGAAGAAGAAATAAAAGAGAGAGAGAGCGCAGCAAACTACCCAGGAGACCTTGGGCCCAATCCTGTTAGGTATGCCTATTTAAGGCATTAGCTTGAGATTTGGGATGGGTGGGTTCAAGTCCCTGCTCCATCACAGGCTTTGGTGACCTTAGGCAAGTCTTTGGTGACCTTTCTGTGCCTCAGTTGTCCTTCTGTAAAATGGGGAAATAATATTTCCCTTTCTCAGAGGGTGAGGATAAAGACGGGGAGGTGCTCAGATAGGTAGTACCAAACACCCTCAACTCTCATGAACTTCGGGGAGAGTGGAGGATTGTCAGTGCTCAGCACCTTGCCATACCAGGTCCAAAGTACGCACAAAGGACCATATCTTCATTGAAGGTCTTATTGAAGGCAATGGCATGACTCTCGAACCAGGAACAGATCCCTTTATCATGGAAAGTGTGATTATGTACAGTACACCGGAATATTTAGAAATTATTTTGCCATTATACAGACCAAAAAATCCCTGCTGTTTTGATGGAGAAGACTATCAGTTGTGAATATTAGATAGTGGTGTCTTCTTTATGCATTCAATGATCATTTTTAAAATTTTTCCATTTACTCTTTAAAAGGCAAAAAAGTTTTTATAAATATGGCTATAAAAAGGGAAAGACAACATAATCTGATGTAGGTATCACCTCCATGAGGATGATTCTTTAGAGTTTGTAACATATTTAGTACTGTCACTATACTCGAGTGGCAAGGTTTTCATGGATTATGATTTTGTGACTGTCATATTGTGATCGGACAATGCTCTTAGTTGGAAGGTTTCCAGGCAATAAAGCTCTTATGAAGAGTTGCTTAGAGACCTACTTAGTAATTTTCTAAGAAAAAGTGGTGTGCAATGGCTACATTACTACTTTGTAAAGGCACAAATCTTACAATTGTTCAGAATGACTCTGGAAAGATACAGGTTTGGTCCTGGATTGTAAACTTCCTCCCCCAAATCATCAGGCAGTATGTAGTGATTAACGCATTACAGGATTTGCATGCACAATGCTTCCAAACTGATGCTAGCTTCTGACCAGATAGGGGATACGCGCAGTGCAGATGTGCCCCTGGAGATGTAGAGCAAAGTTGAGAACCTGGGTCCTATCTATTTAAGAGTCTGAGCCTTCAATTAGCTATGGACATGTGTAACTAGATGCATCTTGAACGTACAGAAGAGCAGGGGGTGATTTTGCAAAGATAAATGCGTAAATAAATACACACAGATCAAGCCCTAAGCATCCATTTAAACCTATCCTTCCTTCCCTTTTCTTGTCAATACTAATGACACCTATGTTTTCTTTCTCTAAATATTTTCTCCCTAGGGCCATAATAATAATAATATAAAACGGATAGGCAGAAGACTGAGCTACACAGTTCAGATCATTTCACTTAAAACAGTGGTTTTCAACCTTTTTTCATTTGCAGACCCTAAAAAATGTCAAATGGAGGTGCAGACCCCTTTGGCAGTCTTAGTCTGCAGACCCCCAGGGGTCACGGACCACAGGTTGAAAAGCACTGACCTAGAGCAAGCCCACAGCCTTCCTTACCCTTTCACGATTTCATTCCACCCTTATAAAGAGAGTGTTATGGCTGCAAAGGAACATTCTCTGTGAGCAAGAGAAGGCAAAGCTGCTATTAGAGTGAAGCAAGTATCACTGTGCGAGAAACCCAGTCATTTTGTGTTTGCTAGACCTCATCACCTCAAGGATGTTGTGGCGGGTCCAGACTACCCCGCCTTAACCCGGAAGGAGTTAAGCCCCAGGGACTGGCAGCGGAAGTCCCGCCTCCCCAGGCAGACTGGGCATGCTCCAAGTGCTACAGGAGTATAAAGGGAGGGAGACCAGCTCATCCTGGGCTGGAGCCTGTAGGAGAAGGACTGCCAGGGGAGCTCCTGTGGCGGACCAGCCACTGCCGCTGACTGCACCGGGAAGAGACGCTGTCCATGGCCCACTGGCGATTGGAGGAGACCCAGGAGACAACTGAAGCCTCCGAGTACCAAGGACCTGATGACTCCTGGGAGACCCCAAGGGAGAGACTGGTAGGAAGTGACCCTGGGAGGGTGACCGAGTGGTACCTTTCCCTCCCTCCCCCCCAGGGAAACTCAGTGTGTTTTGGTCGGAGCCCCCTGCTGAGTTGGTGGCAAACAACTATGCTACTTCAGGGCCCCCCTACTGGGGCTGTTGCACCCCAATGATAAAGACTCTGGCTGCTAGGCCATGCTACCCTCCACCCGAGGGTTGCTTTCTGGACTCTGGCTGGTAGGCCCCACTGCCCTGTAGCCAAGGGCTGTGTTATAGACACCTGCCGTCAGGCCGCATCTCCTTGAAGTAAAGAGGATGCCATAGACTGTGGCTGCTAGGCCCCACTGCCCTGGACTGAAGGGCTATTTTATGGACGGTGGCGGATAGTCCATGCCGCTCGCAACCTTAGGGGCGTGGACCGTCACAGATATCTAGAATGTGATCTCAGCTGTGCCTTGCTGCAATACGTCTTCTATATAAAAGAGAAACTGCTTAGGCCTGAAACCTGGTGAACACTTAGGGGACATGGATTTTCATACTGTGCTCACTTCACTGAGTGAAAATGCTATTGATTTCTGAGAATATGGACTTGTTCTTGAAAGATGTTGAGCACTCTGGCCCCAATCCAGCTAAGCATTAAGAACGTGCTTAACTTTGAGTGGTTCCCTCAACTTCAATTGGGCTACTCGGGTGCTTATGTGCATTTCTGGAGCGGAACCAGAGTGTTCAGCACCTTGCAAGATGAAGCCCTTGTGTAATGCATAAGGATGTAGACACGTCTCTAAGGATCACCCATCAAACATCTAAGGCAATGGAGAGGTCTTGGAGACTAACATTTAAACTTTAAATTACTAGGATGGATGAAGAGCCTAAGCCCCTCTCTATAGCAGGGAAATTTTCTAAAACTTTCTCACTGTTCGCAATGGTGGCAGCCTTACTGTAGACAGGCTCCCAGCACTTTAAACATCAGATCAATGAGACCTGCTCCTGGAGGGATTACATGACACAGTGATAAAAGGCTGACAGCCCATCCATACTACATTAGGGTTGTGTAAAAAGTTTGTCTCACTCACCAACAGGAGTTGGTCCAATATTACCTCACCTGCTCATATCCTTGGCCCAACATGGCTACGACGACGCTGCAGACATTTAAGCGCAAGAGGCATTTAATTGTCACTCCTCTTATAGAAGATTAAAAATAACTTAATTGTACCGACTATATCAGATAGGGCATACAAAGATTTCTTGACCCTTCACAGTTAATTAGTGCAATAACTTCTCAACTCAAGTAATCTGGAGGCTTATATCTGCAAATGTCCATGGACATTTATACACAGCAGAGACACCCCAAATCCAGCCATTATTATTTTGACAACTTATGCAATGCACCCAAAAAGTGTGCAGGTCTTTTACAGATTAAAAAAGAGGCATGCTCCATGCCTTCACCATCGATGGCCTTGATTCTGCAAAGAGAGCAGAACAGGTGGACAAATGGGGCAGGGGGCTAAGTCAATGGCGCTGTGTGGGTGCAGGGATTTGTTCACACAGTTCTCTGCAGAATCAGGACCTAATTTTCAGAAAGAAAATGTTGTACTAATTATAAATCATTGATACTACTCAAGTAAGTCTACATGGCTAATGAGGGACTTAGCAGCATGAGAGGTTATTTGAACTAGTACAACTACTGAGGAGGGAAGGGGGTAGAGGGAAAACCTATTTCCCCCTGCAACTTTTTACTATTCTGTGAATGTTCTCACTGATGCCCTCTCACTGTTCACATCTTCCCCCAGCTCCTCAAAATGGTTGTTGTTACACCAATGACCAGAAAGAGCAGTAACTCATGGTAAAAAATTGCATGGCAATGGCAATTTCAAAACAGTCAGTCCTGTTTTCTGTTTCTGTATGGGGGAAGTTGGAGGTGGGGGAAGGAGGGGAAGCAAGCAAGCAAGGGCTGTTAAAAGCTTAAAGCATTTACAAGACATCAGCAAGTTTAGAATCAAGCAACCTGCAAGTCTGACAACTGCAGCCAGGATTACAACTTTTTTGTAACAAACTCTTTTAGGGGAGGTTATAAAGGGATTTGGCAGAAGAGCTACTCAATAAGTGATGTATTGGGACAAAAATCAAGAAGAGTGCTTAATAGCCTCTACAACCCTATAAGCTGCCCCAAGGCCTATGGCTTTTTTTTTTTAATTCAGCGATGGTAAAATGGTCCTGTATTTCGTTTTCAAAAACTGAGAAACTGTATTAGCCATTGAACCCAATGCTTTTAGTGTGACTTGGGGCCCATTTGTGTTTAGGGACAGGGTAAAAACTTACCAACTTCTGTGCCTTTACCCAAAGTAAATGTTAATCCATAACCTTTGAGTCCATCACGGGCATCAGTTTCTATTACAACATAGGCAGCAGAATAGTCAGGGTCCGGGTGCTAAATTAAAGACCAAAAACAACACCCAATAGCAGAACAAGAACCTGACAAAGGAGGATTGACAGGGATTCACCCACCATAGGTCACATACCTCTTAGAGCAACAAAAAGCACTGGCGAAGAGGGCAGCAATCAAGGTAATTTAAGATTTGTGGCAAAATGAATATAAAAGTCTAGATCTGTGGGACTAAGGTAAGTCCTCTCTCACTGAACAGTGAGAATCATTACAGGGAGAAGCGGATAGATTGTATCACTAGCATTTGATCTGAGTGAACCGAAAAGATTTACACTCCAGGCTCAGGGGGTGGCCGTCTCCGCTTAGCTGTGGGGGTGCCAGTTACAGCCTCTGGCTCTAGCCCCAAGTCCCCTTGCCCTGTTTAACGCAGTATCCCCATATCCGCGAGCTTGGCTGCGCACAGTCTAGCCCTGCGGGCCGGCGCATCGGCTTGTTGAGCCCCGCGGACCTGCTGGTGCTGTGGAGGGGCCTGGGGCAGCCGCTGCTCAGCGGGCCTGGGGCTACTGCAACGCCGGAGAGCGAGTCCCAGCTCTGCCACCGCTGGCTCAGCCCTAGGGAGCCGGCCGGCCGCAGCGCTTACCATAGCATCGGAGCCATGGTGCCCCAGGGAGGTGGGGAAGCGAACGTCGCTCACCGCCAGCCCGGTGATCCTGCCCCGCACCATGGCGCGAGCCCCGAGCCCAGCCAGTCTCCTCCCGCGACCACGGCAGCCGCGCGAGGAAGTAACTCGCCAGCGAGAGCTGCTCCCACCGCCCCGCCCCGCTGGCCACTCTCAACGCTGATTGGTGCGCGGCACCTCGGACACTGGAGGTGTGATTGGCCGCTCGGGGCGTTCTAGAACGTGGAGACCGGGCGTTCTGCAACGCCGGGGAATAGGGAGACGGGAAGAAGCGTTTGGGGCGAGCGGACGCCCCGGCTGGAAGGATGCAGCAGCAGCAGCTGCTGAGGGCTGCTCCCCTGCCTGGTCGCCTATTAAACGGATATTGGTACATTCCAAAGTTGTGGTCGGAATCTAAACCGTCACAGAACTGGGACTCCAGAGCTTTGGTTTGGCTTGGTATGAAAACGATGGTCAGCGGGGGGATTCAGCCTAAAGCCCGTTCCAAATCCAAATCCGAGATGTTTGGACCCAGAGATTGGGCCTAGGGACCTTTCCCCAAATTGCACAGCAGAGCAAAAGTACTTTATTTTAGCAAATTTTAACAAAGCAGGGGTTGTTGCATGTCACTTTTTAAAAAAAATATTGTATATGTTGCTAACGCTTGCAGATGTATTGTGTGGCTATTGATAGGCCTGGTCTACGCTACAGTACATGGTTAGGTTGATGTAAACTGCCTTGCATCGACCTAGCTGTGTAAGTGTCTTCAATTAAATTTGGCTTCCACCAATGTAAATGCCTCTCTGTGCTGGTTAGTAACACTACCTCCCCAAACAGCATAGAATCACGCTTAATATAATTAGGACAGCACAGTGTCAATGTAGACACTGTGTTGCTTACCTTGACTGTAACTGGTCTCCTGGAGCTGTCCCACAAAGCCTCACACTGAGACTAAAATCAATACAAGCAGTCCTGGTGAGGACGTGCATTGCTGACACAAGGAGTGAAGTGTGCACGTTCACATGTGAATTAATAACTATGGCAGCTCTATGCTGACATAAGTTAAGTGAACATAATTTTATAGTGTTTTTCTTAATGCCCCTGCTGTTGCAGTCATAGGAGCTTTCGTGATTGTGGAGAAAAGTTAAAAAATGTGACCTAAGTGTGCCCTAAAGGTTAGACAACCAGAAAGTAAATCAAAAGCACCCAAAAAATACTATTTAAAGAGTCTGTTTATTTGGGGGGGGGGGAGGCTGACTCATTTTTGAATGTTTGGGTTGGCAATACAAAGACTAGCAGTTTATGGGACTGTTTCCTGAGGAACCAAATTACAATAATTACAATGAATGGCAAATTTCTGGTATATGGTTTCTTGCCCTTCCTCTGAACCTGGTCACAGTTAGAGGCAGGATACATAACTACTGGTCTGATTTCATAGAATCAGTCCCCTGCACTCATGGCAGGGCTAAGTATTATCTAGACCAGTGGTTCTCAAACTTTTGTACTGGTGAACCCTTTCACGTAGCAAGACTCAGTGTGACCAGCTCCCCCTAATAAATTTAAAACACTTTTTAATATTTTTAACACCATTATAAATGCAGCAAAGTGGGGTTTAGGGTGGAGGCTGACAGCTCACAACCTCCCATGTAATAACCGCACGACTCCGAGGGGTCCCAACCCCCAGTTTGAGACCCCCTGATCTAGACTATCCCTGACAGGTGTTTGTCTAACCTGCTCTGAAAAATTTCCAATGATGGAGATTCCACAACCTCCCTTGCTAATTTATTCCAGTGCTTAACTACCCTGACAGGAAGTTTTTCCTAACGTCCAACTTAAACCATCTTTGCTGCAATTTAAGCGCATTGCTTCTTGTCCCATCCTCAGAGACTACGGAGAATAATTTTTCTCCCTCCTACTTCATAGAATATCAAGATTGGAAGAGACCTCTGGAGGTCATCTAATCCAAGGGTTCTCAAACTGGAGGTCAAGACCCCTCAGGGGTTCACGAGGTCATTACCTGGGGGGTTGCGAGCCGTCAACCTCCACCCCAAACCCCGCTTGCCTCCAGCATTTTTAATGGTGTTAAATATATTAAAGTGTGTTTAATTTATTAGGGAGGGTCGCACTCAGAGGTTGTGATGTGAAAGGGGTCGCTAGTAAAAAAGTTTGAGACCCACTGATCTAGTCCAACCCCCTGCTCAAACTTTGTAACAACTTTTTATGTACCTGAAAACTTATGTCCCCTCTCAGTCTTCTCTTCTCCAGACTAAACAGACCAATTTTTTTCAGTCTTCCCTCATAGGTCACGTTTTCTAGACCTTTAATAATTTTTGACATTTGACAATCATTCTAGACATTTAATCATCTTGTCTGGACTTTAGTCACCAATTTTCTGAAATCGATTTGTCAGATCCAGCTGTAGGGGAGGGAGGGAGAAGAGAGGAGAGATCACCCTTTGCTACTAAACCTGATGTTAGATATTTCCTTTGGATGCAATCTATTTGTAAGTAGCACATGCACATGGTATCCACATTACTTAATTCAGTAACAGCCTGTAAAGGCTTTGAGTGCTGAGGCTATTTTAATGACAATGGCTCTACAGGATCAGTTACGCTTTCTAATAATCTCCTCATTTGTATGTTAACCCCAGCCAAGCAGTCAATCAGGCTTTGCCTTCATAAATCACTCTCTGCAAATAGCTGTCTTTGTGACAAATGTGTTGAGAAGATTAAATGTAATGTTTTCACCACAGTGTTTCTGGTAATTATGGCACTTACGTGACTATACTAAATGTTTAAGGCGCCATCCATAAATTATGTAATACTTTTTTTATGGATCTGCAAGACCCACCCACTACTTTGTAATATTAAAACAAACACACAATTAAGGACCCACCTATCTCTTAATGCATTATTTAATTTATGGACAGCCCTGAAGTACTTCAAGGTTGAAAATTCCCCCTGATTATGGTTGTACAGGAAATAATGAGGCACCCAAGAAAGCCATCATGGAATCCCCATAGATTGTTCAGGAGGACAAGAAATAGTATTTCCAATAAAATGTCTACTTTTGATTTAAATCCAGGACTTTGAATACTAAATTAAAATGGAAATGCAGAAGAAAACCTCCATTTATTGCACTTGAAACTCTTTATTACAGAACAATGAAGATACATAGAAGTAATAAAACATTAAAATGAAAAATGACGATAATCATACTGAAAGTGAAAAGCAGTAGAGGTGCAGTACAGACTCAACTTGGATTTAAAAAAAAAAAAACCTTGCTCTGCTGACAGCAATAGAGGGCTGACCTTGCTCCTCTTAGGTCTGGTCTACACTATGAGTTTAGTTCAAATTTAGCAGCGTTAAATCAAATTAACCCTGGACCTGTCCACACAACGAAGCCATTTACTTCGACATAAAGGGCTCTTAAAATCGATTTCTGTACTCCTCCCCGACGAGGGGAGTAGCGTCAAAATCAACATTGCCATTTCGAATTAGGGTTAGTGTGGCTGCAATTCGACGCTATTGGCCTCTAGGAGCTATCCCACAGTGCACCATTGTGACCGCTCTGGACAGCAAGCTGAACTAGGATGCACTGGCTAGGTAGACAAGAAAAGCCCCGCGAACTTTTGAATTTCATTTCCTGTTTGCCCAGCATGCAGAGCACAGGTAACCATGCAGTCTGAGAATCGAAAGAGCACCAGCATGGACCATACGGGAGATACTGGATCTGATCGCTATATGGGGAGAGGATTCCGTGCTAGCAGAACTACTTTCCAAAAGACTAAATGCCAAAACATTTGAAAAAAATCTCCAAGGGCATGATGGGGAGAGAGGCCACAATAGGGACTCACTACAGTGCCGCGTGAAAGTTAAGGAGCTCAGACAAGCCTACCAGAAAACCAAAGTAGTAAACAGAAGGTCCAGGTCAGAGCCACAGCCATGCCGCTTCTACGCTGAGCTGCATGCAGTTCTAGGGGGGGCTCCCCACTACCCCACCTCTGACCATGGATTCCGAGGAGGGGGTAATCTCAGCCATGCCTGAGGATTCTGTGGATGGGGAAGAGGAGGAGGAGGATGAGCTTGCTGAGAGCACACAGCACTCCGTTCTCCCCAACAGCCAGGATCTTTTTCTCAGCCTGACTGAAGTACCCTCCCAAGGCATTATCCCAGACAATGAGGCCCATGGAAGGGACCTCTGGTGAGTGTACCTTTGTAAATATAAAACATGGTTTAAAAGCAAGTGTTGTTTTTTAATGACTAATTTGCCCTGAGGACTTGGGATGCATTCGCAGCTAGTACAGCTACTGCAAAAGTCTGTTAACGTGTCTGGAGATGGAACGGAAATCCTCCAGGGACATCTCCATGAAGCTCTCCTGCAGGTACTCCAAAAGCCTTTGCAGAAGGTTTCTGGGCAGTACAGCCTTATTCCGTTCTCCATGGTAGGACACTTGACCACGCCATGCTAGTAGCAAGTAATCTGGTATCATTGCATGACAAAGCCTGGCAGCGTATGGCCCCGGTGTTTGCTGGCATTCAAGCAACATCCATTCTTTATCTCGCTGTGTTATCCTCAGGAGAGTGAAATCATGCAATCGACCCGCGATGAAAGAGCTCATCTGAATGAGTGGAAGGACATGGTATCAAAGTACAGGAAAGATGCCAGTGAACATGAGGCCATGAGGGACGCTTGAGATGAGAAGTGGCAGGCTGTAACACTGGGGCTGTTGCGTGAGCAAACGGACATGCTCCGGCATCTGGTGGAGCTTCAGGAACAACAGCAGGATCACAGAGTGCCGCTGCAGCCCCTTTATAACCACCCTCCCCCCTCACCATGTTCCATAGCTGCCACATCCAGACGTGTAAGAACGCGGGGGGAGGCTCTGTGCACCCGCCCATTCCACCCCAGTGGACAGCCCAGGCAAAAGGCTGTCATTAT